GTGTATTACATTCAGAACAGCCAAATGACTCCCCCTAGAGAAGGCCCTGTAGCCATAGAAACGAAAGCAGAGGCAGCTAAGCTCTCTAAAATTGATACATTTAGAGGACAGATCTCAAGCTATGATGAAAATATTCCTATTGCAGAGATAAAACACTGCTTATATATTAGAACTGATTCTCAATTATTTGAATCAGCTGGTGACAATATAAGAATATTTGAAAACAACTATTTAGCATTGAGAGACACTTGCTCCCAGGTTACCCTCTGTCACTCTGATATCGTACCTCAGAAATATTTGATTCCTAACCAGCACGTGACAATCCAAGGGATTGGGAAGGAGATAGTAATTTTGCCTGTGGCTGAAGTTTTAGTTAATTATCAGGGATGGCGAGGTAAATGGCGCGTTGGAGTTTCAGCACAAATTCCCGCATCAGTTCTTATAGGCACAGATCTCTCAAAACATGTCAAGAGTGCCTTGGTGATTACACGATCACAACCATAACAAACTGAGGCAGCAGGAAAGTTTACTGATTTTCAAGAGAGAGATGGAAATCTACCCCAAGCTGAGACAATTTCTCTGGAAATACCTCAGGAAAATATATTTGTCCAAGAGCAGCTAGCAGAACCCACTTTAAAAGGATGTTTTGAAAAAGTGGCTGGCAAAGAATTATCCCCTAAACAAGGGTTGCTATACATAGAAAAATAGATTAGAAATTTCTGTCAGAAAGTTGATGTGTGCCAGAAACAGAGTTATAACAGTGACCAGACTGAGGTTAAGCTGTGCCCTTTACCAGAAATCTCTACACCTGTTAAAAGTATTGAAGCAGACATTATAGAACCATCTTTTACATCCAGGTTTATAAATAGATTGTGGCAGATTTGTGGAGTAAAACACTTAGAGAATTCTCCCTATCATCCGGAAAGTGATGGGCTGGCAGAGAGATTCAATGTGACCCTCACGAGGATGATTAAAGCCTATTTAGCTGAGAACCATAATAACTGGGACCAAAACCCACAGTTACTTTTATATGCCTACAGATCAGTCCCACAGGAGAGTACTGGGTTCAGTCCCTTCGTGTAATTATTTGGGAGACATGTGAGGGGTCCGCCTGATCTAATTAAGCAAAATTGGGAACAGATTGTTGAGGAAGGCCCCCAAAATGTGATCACATGTGTAGACTCTGTGGTAAACAGCCTCGAAAGAAATCTAGATTTGGCTGATGAGAATCTAAAACCACAAAAAGTCAAACAGAAACTGTGGTATGACAAAAAGTCTAGGGAACTTCAGTTTAATCCTGGAGATGAGGTCCTTCTGTTGAGGCCCATCAAGGGGAACAAGCTACAACTGAGCTGGAACGGTCCATATAGAGTTATTCATGAAATGAATGACCTCAATTTCATTATTGAGGGAAATGCACCCCTAGGCAGGAGGGTAGTTCATGTAAATGCCTCTAAGTCATATTATAGAGAAGGAAAAAAATGTGCTGTTTGAAAGGAAAGCAGCTGATAAAGGAGAACATGAGTTACTTTCCTGGAAAGGGAGGGGTCAGCAAAAGTTCATCTCAGAGGAGGTGCAGATCAGCCCTGCTCTATTCATAGAACAACAGAGTGATCTAACATTGGTTAATAAGTATCAGCAGGTTTTCTCCAGCAAACCTGATGTAGCCAAGGTAGTGTTACATCGAGTTGACACAGAGCTGATGAAAAAGATGAACTAATGAGGTGGGCTCTCCTTTTTGCAGGACTATGACTTGGAGGGTAAGGTTGTCAAAGGGACAATGAACTCTGTTGCTGACACCTTATCCCGAAGACCCGACGACGACGGCTGAACAAACATGGACTCTTAAAATATAACTAAGTGTAAAAGTTATAAAATGTGTTATTGTTGCATTATTATCTGTGTATATACTTATGCAATTGTTTGTTTAAAATGTGAGTATATTTTAAAAGAGATAGTTATGCTTTAATGTGTTATATGGTTGTGGTAAGTGTTGTAATGGGGTAAGCATTGTTTTGTTTGATGTGCAGTTGTTTTGGGGTGAAAAGCACCTTAGCTTTCCCCCCACAAAACAACTTTTATAAGGGGGGAGGTATTATCTGTGTATATACTTATGCAATTGTTTGTTTAAAATGTGAGTATATTTTAAAAGAGATAGTTATGCTTTAATGTGTTATATGGTTGTGGTAAGTGTTGTAATGGGGTAAGCATTGTTTTGTTTGATGTGCAGTTGTTTTGGGGTGAAAAGCACCTTAGCTTTCCCCCCACAAAACAACTTTTATAAGGGGGGAGGTAATGTGACGGTAGCGATGATGTCATCTGCCCGTCACTGCTGTAGCTAGAATTTATCTGCCTATAGCAGGATGGGAGGTGGGACTTCAGAGGGTGGAGCTATGGTATTTAAGGGGGGAGTGAATGAGGTGTGAGTCAGATAGGGTGTAGATAGGGTTTGGATAGGGACCTGATAGGGACTTAGGGAGTTAGGGCTTATACCCGTCGTGTAGTACTGTGCTATATTTTGAGAGAAGGTCTGAAAGAGAGAGTGTGTCTGATACTTTATATTGATTGCCTTATTATTTCGTTGATACAGTGATTTACCATTTCTTCTGTTATTCTAAATAAACACAAGTTTTTATTATAAAAGTCATTTATTTGCCTGAAGAGTCTCAGATGAAGGAATGGTTGGTGGCAGCGTGAACAAAGTGTGTGTATGTAAGAGTGACGTGACACCTCCTTTGTGACGTGAGAGGAGGCCGTCACAATTACACATAAATAAAACACTTATAATATCATCAATGTTGTGGCTATTTCACAAACATAATGTGCAAGGGAATAAGGTATTTAATTAGTACGGTGAAGAAATTAAAACAAATCAGTGCACAAATACCAGCAATGTACCAGCATTTACAGTAATTGCAAATAATCAGTATTCTCTTGCTTGTAGCAGATCTAGTTTTAAAGAATAGTTTTGTATCACCTTATTTTCATTGTAATATTGTTTTCACACCTTTGTTTTTGAGATATCTACAGCCAGCCCTATTTTTCTTCAACAGGAAATATATACCAATTATTCAGTGAATCTTACTCTCAGTTCAGCATGGATGGAACTGGAACTCTAGCATCAAACCTTATTTCAGGAAGAAAGAAGACAAGACTAGTATGACTCCTGTTTTATCTTCTCTGGAGTACTGCTGGTCTCTCATATCTGTAGAGATTCCAGCTGCTGCTGCTGCTTTCATCTTCACACTTCCAAATATAGAAGCTGTTCGCAGGTAAGGCGTCCAGCTACTGGCAACACAATTTACAGCTTACTGGAGTTTCTAGATTCTCTCATTCCAGTAAAAAAGCCAACAGGACCGATTGGTTCTTAAACTGGTTAGGTCTCCAAAGGTCTGTCCTCCTTTTCATCTGAAAGCTGCTGGTCTTTTCAGGCACTTTAATTTTAAAGGTGCTGGACACACTCTCCCCAGGAAAAGAAAAAGTCCACATTACTGTTTGGCTTAAATAAAAGCAACCATCTTTAAAAAGAAATGGACACATTTTAATGTGAGTTGCAAAGTCCATGTAGCAGACACCTGCGTGCCTGCCTTCCCCCACCCAGGGAGGAAAAAGGCAATTAATATATCCACTGATCTTTAATACTGTATTACCTGAAGATATGCTGTCTTCAAGCACACACTTCCATGGCCCTTCAGACAAAAATTCTGCCATGTGGGGTTGCTGCAAATTTTTCCTTCTCCGTATATATCCAGAGCAGCTCCATGTATACCTGGAGGAGGAGGATTGCATGGAACTCTTCCATTCCAGGTTCAAGGCTGTGCTATGGAACTGAAACAGCACTGTTCATGCTGTAGGATGACCTGTTAACGGAGGCTGACAATGAAGGAATAACCCTATTTGTGCTCCTTGATCTCTCAGCAGCTTTTGATACAATCAACCACAGTATCCTCCTGGACAGACTGGCAGGGATAGAGATTGGAGGTCTGACTTTTAGCTGGTTCTGGTCCTTCCTTGAAGGTCAGTTCTAGACAGTACAATTTGGGAGAAATTGTCGCCCCATAGACCCTCAAGTATGGGGTATCCTAGCAGCCATCAATCTCTCCAATTTTTTTAAATATCTATGTTAGGCGGGAGAGGTCATCCAGAGACATGGAGTGTGTTGTATGCTGATATGCAGCTCTCTCTCTTCTTTACATCTTCTGTAATGGATGCTGTCCAGGATCTTGGGTGCTGCTTGGCCTCAGTTCTGGAAAGAATGAAGGCTAGTGAGCTGAACCCAAATCCAGAAAAGATATATTCTCCCTCTGGGGGGCTCTCCAACCAGGTTAGCGGGGTAGTCTCCCCAGGCTGGAAGGTATAACCCTTCCTCTTTGGGACTGAGTGTGCCACTTGGGCATATTCCTGGATCTGGCCATTTCATGAGAATCCTAGATGGTGGCTGTGACCAGGTCCAACTTTAACCAGCTGAGGCTGATCGCCCAACTGCACCCCTACCTGGACGGAGGTGCCCTGGAAACACTGGTGCATGCATTAGTGATCTCAAGGTTTGATTACTGCAAAGCTCTCCACGTGGGGCTTTCCTTGAAGCTGGCTGGGAAATTTCAATAGGTGAAGCATACTCCTCCAGGTTGCTACACAGAGGGAGGCCAGAAAGCCATCTACTAGAAACAAGGCCCTCTTGATAGTGGCCCTATCCTTTTGGCATGCTCTCGTGGTGGACCTGTGCTTAGCCTCCTCCCTCAAGCCTCTAAAAGGATGTACAAAACAAGCCTGTTTACCAAAGCCTTTAAGAGCATATTAATTTTTTCTAGACTGATAATTTAGATTGCAGTTTGTTTTTGTTCTTTTTTGATTTATTAGATGATTATTGTTATATTTGTGTATATATACAAATATATATGCTTTAGTTTTGGTTTTTTTTAAAGATATTTGGGATTTGCAATTCAATACCATCTGAAGAGCTATATCTTACACACTCTCCCCACCTTAAGCAAAAGAGATAAGACTTGAATTATTTTATTTACCCTATATAAAGCAAACATCATATAACAGCCGCAATCCCAAGAATCTATTTTGTTTCTCTCCTGGACCCAGTTAACATATAAATTTCCAGCAATGAATGACAGACATGTTTGAATAAGCCACTAAAGATGTACACAGGCTTTTTAATAGTCAGTTCACATTTTCACCTGTCTGTAAGGCAAGTGCACAATAGTAGAGTACAGAAAAATGACATACAATATATGTGAATCATCATATTCAGTGACACAAAACCCAGCACTAGTCTGTGGTAGGTTTCCAGTCAAGGAATGCATGTTGTGCACATGATTCCAACTTAATCTTTTTTGTCATAGAGGGTTTTACCTGTTGCTAAAACCTAGTTTTCAACTGAGATTTTTGGGTTTAAGCAATTTCTGTATCTCTTCCTTCCCTGATATGTTTATGATGGCTCCTTAATACATTTAACAACTGTTTATAAACAAAGCTGATGAGGTGATCCTGTTCCTTTACAGTTCTGCAAAGTAGAAGTAGGCTTTCTCACCCGTGTGCATAAATAGTTGTACCTTCTGCAAGATATCCTGCTGAGCAATTCTTGAAAAGTACGAGACCCCCATCTTTCTCTGCATCTGAACCATCTAAAGCAGCAGTGAGCAAAGTGCGGCCCAACTTCTGTGACTGGACTAGAACTCTCAGCTCCCTCTGGAAGGGTACATGTTTCCATTGTACAGAAAACATGCGCCCATAAATGACGATTAGTCATTTTATTCTGGGCACCCATTTTGTGGTGGAAAATAAGTACTGTTTGGCTGCAACTGTATGGTCTCTATGAGGTTGTCTCAGGGGCCGCAGGATTTTCTGCTATGAGAATGAGTGCCTTCCCCAACATCACTACAGACAAAAGGGGAACATTCTCTGAGTGTGTTAGGAGAGGAGGATGGGAAAAGCCGAATCCACAGGATCCTAAAAGCCTTTCATTTCACTGACTTCTTCTCTCCTTTTGAATGGGGGAAAATGAACATCAGCTTTGGAGCTGGCAGACATGATTTTCTTCCCATTGCAACTACAGAAGGAAAACATTTCAGCCCTGTTTACAAAAACTACAGGAAGAAAACATTCACCCACTGCTCCTCCATCCTTTAGCCTGGGAAAACTATCTTTTGTTTACCTTTGGATTCACCTCCAGCCCAGTAAGAATTGGTCTGCATGTATCCTAAAGCTATACAAAGTAATATAAGTCAAGCGTACTGGAACGAACAGCAGAACAACGACATATGAATAAATACTTCCCGTTAGTTATTAGACTCAGAACTTGAGACAGTGCAGAAGCAGAATTAGCTCTTCATGGGAATAATGCGAGCCACCAAAGGCATGAACCGAAGAGAAACATAGCAACCACTCTCAAGGGTTTTGATAACCAAGATTACAATCAGTGAGCTGCTAAAGCATAGCAAAATTATATTTGACTCAGGTATCATATGCCTCCAACATCTGTAGAAAATTAAAAGAATGCCTATCTCAAACTTTATTTTCCCCACTTTTTTTTTGCTATTTTCTAATCAGATGCAGGCACAGTATGCACAAATACATGCTTTCTGATTTTTCTGATGACAACACAACACACCTCTGCTTGGCTTTAATTAAAACAATTTACACAATACTGTTACAGCAAGAGCTTCTGCAGAGCTCAGACAAGAAAAGTTTGTGTCTTGTGATCATTGATTTTTATTGTCTGGGTTCTGAGTACCAAATAAACAACCTTTAGGCAGCCAACAAGCTTTAGAAAACCTGGAACAGCCTTCTTGTTGTGTTAGACTACAAATTCCAGCTACACTGCCTAGAGGATTGTGGGAGTTGTAGTCTAACACAATTGGGTGGCACCAATCGTCCTCTATTTGAGGACGCCTTCACATGTTTCAGCAAAGATTTGTCTCTCACTTCGTAACAGCACATTTTGAATAGGCTGGAAACACAAAGGCAGGAGATAAAATGCAGACACGACTCCAATTAAAACTATTTGGCAGGAGACAAAGAATTTGATGCATAGTTTATAAAAGACACTGGGAAAGTCAAGCAATATTTGACAGAAATCTTTATGGAGATCTCAGGGCTTTTCTGTCTTTAGGAGGAGAGACTGTCACAGAAAAAGGGGAGAAGTATGTTACAAGAGCAGTCACGTCTTTCAATTCTAAAGAGTATTCCTCTGCTATTCTCCCCACTGTCCATATCTTTGGAGACTCTTGATGGTTACGAAGAAGGGTCAAGGCTTCGATGATAGAGATTGTTCCTTTTGGAACAGTGTGAACATCCAGCTGACTCAGATGGCCTACTCTGGTTGTTCTGTATTCTTTCCACTTAGCTGGGATGCTTTCTCCTTTGTCCACCTAGAAAAAGAAAGGATTATTTAAAAAAAAGGGAAAGGAACTTGTTGGCTTTGAGCCCACAAGGGCCATATGCTCCATATTTCCCTCCCTTCCCTGTAATAAACTGCAATAAATAAATGGCCTTCCAATCTACTGCTCTGAAAAAGAGGACTTAAGCAGCAGCCTTGTGATCCTCGGGAAGGTGTCCTCGGGCAATGGGATGTTTCAGATCTCTCTCCAGAATCAGTGAATGGCTCAGACTTCGATGAGAGATGGGTCTTATTAAACACATTCCTAATCTTTGCAGAACCATGCGTTGCCTTCGTCTTTCTGACATCAATAGACACGAAACAAACGTATTTAGTGGGGAAACCAGAGGAAGGCTTGGTTTTGCATAATCAACAAGCTTCTTAGTCTACCAGCATATCTTAAGTAAACCCTGATATTGGTGTACATAATTTTCCTCCCACTGCAACCAAGGAGGGGGACATGTAGAGAACAGAGTAAAAAAAAAGTGAGGGGGCGAAAGAGTAATAAATCAAGAGTGAATACTTTCCTGGAGCTGGAAAGCTGTATCACCCTTCAGAATCCACTGGGGGACATTTTCCTTGCAAAAAGCCTTGTTTATGGCTTCTAAGAGCACAAATCGGCTTGTAAACAAGTTGTACCAAAAACATATGCCTTCTTTCAAAGGAAATATTGCACTGCTAACAATTAAACCTACCTTTCCACTTGGGGGAGCTGCATATGGTTCTTATGTGTCTTCATTAGCCTACCATATACAGGCTCAATAAACTAAAAATATAAATAAGTGGGCAGACAAAACAAAAAGAACATGACACACCTCCATTGCTCCCAAGAAGTACAAGGGCTTTGGATCAGACGGCTCTTCTACTTCTGGATCATTCCCTTTAGCCACACAGGTTATTCTACCTATTAGGGAACATCCTTTTTTAAAAAATAATATTTTGTGGGTGATGGATTTGATGGTCTTCAGATGCCAGATTTAAAAAAATATTGTTTTGTTGGTCTTTCAATGGCTTTATATAGTTCTTAAGAATCGTGTTGCTATGAAACAATGTTGTGGGAAAACTTCACACACTCTGTCTCAGACATCTCTGAACCAGGCTGCAAAGTTCCTGTCTAAAGTCCTGGAGAATTGCTACTCAACAACAATACAGAGTGAGATCCATCAGAAGTCTTCTTTGGTGTGAGGATGCTCTTCATATATGTGACTTGTTTTGAGCTGCTTATTTTCACTTGCTTTAAACTACACCATGGTACTTCCATATGAGAAGATGTGGTAAGATGGAGTACTTGCATTAAGTAATTTGGCAAAGCTTTCCATTTCACCAATAGTATACAACATTCTGGCCCATGGCCCCTGCATTCCCAATATATGTTTAAGACTGCAGTCTAAGAAATTTCAAATCACTCTGAAATACAAGGACTTTTATCACTCCAGCATATTGTCTGCTTACATAGAAATACATCCCACTGAACTCAAACTAGGCTTCCACCTAGATAGACACTGAATTGAAACTCTAGGCATTCAACTGGCAAATTTAAAACCAGTGTATCTTCCTGCCATGACAACATCACAGTATTCCATTCTCTCTTTCCATATTAAAAGACACAGGAAAAGAGCAGGCAATACTTTAATTATGGTCCATTTTGACATGCAAGAAAATGAACATGAAAGTGAAGTACAAAACAGAATTTTAAAATCTGAAAAGCAGCCAATTAAGTCAAGCACAGAGTTATCTGGAAGGCCCATGAAGGGAGTTCACCTTGCACAGAGGCAAAAGGAACTCCTTGTGTTTATTAAATGACTATGTGGATTGAGAATGGGCCAAGAGAAAGCTTAATAAAAATGTTGTGTCCACAAAATAAGGAAAAATATTACCTGCTACTATAATTTGCTTCTACTGATAAAGGGTCCAAAAACACACACAGGCTAAAAGCCTGTTAGCATTGAAAGTCGCACTAGAGTAGGCTCACTGAATCAGTTGTGATTTGGTGACTCTTCCATAAATCCAGATTATTCAATAGGCTTACTTAGTTGGGACTTATACTTAAGTAAGTTGCAACCAGAGTAGGGCAATTTGAATACATGAAATTTACAGAGGAACTGATCACCAAATTCCATTGATTCAATGGGTCTACTCAAGTGTAACTTATACACTGAGCAGCAGGACTTCAGCCATTAACAGATCTAATGTGACTAAGCATTACATGATCAGGAAAACAAAAACCCTGACTCAACCCTTGTAACTAGTGAATGAAAAAGAGTATTATAGCTTAATGTACATTCTAGGAAATCAGCCCAACTCACATGCTTAAGTGGATCGCTGGAATCAACATAAATATCTTTTAATAAAGTGTGAAGGCGATCATCTTTTTTCGTAACCTCTTCTTGGAATTCAGCAGATACTAAGGAAGAAGATTCAAAACATGTTTACAATTATTTCCCATCTCCACTATAAACAATATATTATTTTTCCTATAATCATACAGAAATCATTTCACATATGTGTATAGGCCAGAATTAATCCTACTGCATTAGCTTTTGCAACCACATATATGGATTTTGATGGTTATTTCAAAATTCATATTTATCCACACTCACACAGAAAAAACATCTTGCATTGGTAAATCAAGGGCAGCTAGACTTGGACCCTTAAAATCAATTGTTATGAGAAGTTATTCAGAATCAGAGGTTGGGTACTGGGAAGGTGGGAATTTTTGTCCATCAGATATAACCTTAAGAAGTGAGCTAAGAGGTTCTTGCTCCCAGCCCAAGGCTGAAACTGAAGAAACAAAACTTAGCAAAGGGTTTTTAACTTGTCTTCTCCTATTTGTTTTTTTTCTCCTGCCTTTGCTTCATTTGGTTTTTTTTTCTCGTGCCTAATAAGTTAAGTTGCAAAATACAAACCTAGATTTTCCCCCAGATCCTAGTCAGCCATTATCCCTGAACACAGTACCATGTGCAACAGCCAAGACTCTAAAAACTTACTTTGGAGGCTACAACATCCAAAATCTTCTAGCCAACCTACTGGTTATGAGTCTGAGAAGCTGTAATCCCAGAAATAACTTTTCCAGACTCTCTTAAAAAGCATGGAACCACGTGCCTTGGCTTTACACACAGTCTGCTCACCTGTGGTGGCGCCACCCTCCTAAAGACTGAAAAGCCCTGAGATCTCTATAAAGAGGTCTGTCAAACATTGCTTGACTTTCCCAGTGCCTTATATAAAACTACACATCAAATTTATTGTGTCCTCTCTCTGTGCGCACGTTCTAAATCCTATGATGATAATATACCAGGAAAGGTGACAATTCCTGTCAGAACCCTCTATAAATTCAACTTTTCAGTGTTCTTGTCTCAAATCCCATCAGCAGTTGGTCTGCCACGCTACAGTTGTTTAAATTTAAGCAGAGCCAGCTGGTAAACAAGAAGAAGAACTGGCGTTAAAAGAAAAAGGAGCTTATTTCTCCCGACCCGAAAGCTGGCGGAGAGGAGAAGCCGGAAGCTCTTTTGATTGGCGCTCCACCTCAGCCTTTCTAATAGAAAGTTCCGTGGGCTCCTGGACTACAATTCCCAGACTCTCTCGCGCTCTCTGCCCCATCCCGCATGCGCCCGGGGGAAAAGGAAGAGGAGGCGCAAACCCCGCTTCCCAACGCGCAGGGCAACGGAGGCAAAAGCTTCAAAGTCAAAGAGGTGCCCTCTCGCCCCGAGGCCCAGCGCGGGGGCCGCCGCCGCCGCCTCTGCAGAGCCAAACCGCCCATCCAAACCGCAGCCCAAGCCCTCAGCCCTGCTCCTCCTCCGCACACGTGTCCATCCCGTCCCTTGGGCTCCCCCTCCATTCACACAACCAAGGCAAGAAGAGGGGGAGAAGGAGCACGAGCGTCCTCCTGGGATCGGAGGCGCTGCCTTCGCTTCTCGGCTCACTCACGGTCTTCCTTGTCCATTTTCGGGTGGCGCGGGGCGGGCACCGGCTTGGCTTTGCCGATCTCCCGGTGCGCTCGGGCTTCCACGTTGATCTTGCCCAACTTGCGCGTCACCATGGCGCCCATCACGCCGGCTCCGCTTCCGAAAGCTGAGGGGCAGCGTCCCTTCCGAAGGGCCCCGGGTTGAGCATGCGCACCAAAGCTCCGAGCCGCCGCCGCAGGGCTTCGGAGCGCCGCTTAGTGGACTGGAGGGCGTACTGCACGCGGGAGATGGTTTGGAGTGGCTGCCTGCTCATGCCGGACTAAGACATGGGTTCGAATCCTCCGGGACGCCCAGAAAGTGGGTGACGGTGGTCAAACCACACCTTAATATATCACACACCTATCAGGGTCACTATGAATCAGTTGCAATTTTACAGCACATAAGAAAAACTAGTGTCCAACTAGGATTCCACTGCTGCCTCTTCTCATTTTGCATTTTAGCAATTAAGAAACTGATTCTGGTTCCCTATCCCCTGCAGTGACAAAAACGGATTATCTTAGATGGAGCCCTTATTCTTTAGTAGAAGTTATATTTAGGAGTAGATATACCCCAAGGGAGGCCCAGAAAAAAAAAACCACCAGGAACATGGCCTTTTCAGTGGTGGCTGTGATGCTTTGGAACACATTAGCTGTGCATGTGCAACAGGCACCCTCCCTCCTGTCTTTCAGGAAATGTATTAAAACCAAACTTGGAAAGGAGGCCTTTAAGAACATCCTCCCCTTATGATAGACCTATTATGTCCAAATTTTATTTCTGCTTGCTGTTGCCTCTCGAGGCTCAGGAACATGGCCTTTTCAGTGGTGGCTGTGATGCTTTGGAACACATTAGCTGTGCATGTGCAACAGGCACCCTCCCTCCTGTCTTTCAGGAAATGTATTAAAACCAAACTTGGAAAGGAGGCCTTTAAGAACATCCTCCCCTTATGATAGACCTATTATGTCCAAATTTTATTTCTGCTTGCTGTTGCCTCTCGAGGCTGACATCCTTCAGTCTCAAGAGACTATGGTAACATGCTCTGAATCGAGGAGTGTCCTCTCCAGAGCATGAAGCCCGGGTAGTAGTAGTAGTAGTAGTAGTAGTATTTAGAAATACCAGGCACAGTCATGTCAAAATTATAAAAACATTGACTGGTACTGTATAACAGATGCAAGTTTTGACCAAAAACCTAAGTCAGTGTTAAATATTGGCACTGTATATATGCTGTTCCTAATATTGCTAGTTTTTTTTAATGCTCTGACAGTATGATTTCTGAGATCTGCAACTCCTTATAATACTGTGTGAAATTTCTTGATATAATCACGAGCGAGATATTTGCATTGCCAGGTCTTTGTATTTTGTTAGATTTTACAATTCTTTATTTTCAACTCTGGCATCCCCTGGAATTGCAGTGTCAATGATCCAGACATTTCTTCCTTTTATTACTACTATGTCTGGAGTATTATGTTCAAGGTGTCTATCAGTTTGGATCCAGAAATCCCACAAGATCTCTCATTTTCTGACATCTTCGCTATCTGATGCTGCCATGGGTTTTTTGGAGGCTGGCAAGTTACATTTTTTGCATAACGACCAGTGCAGTAATTTTGCCGCACTATCATGTCTACTTTTATAATCTGTTTGTTCAATTTTTGGACATTTACAGATAAGGTATGACACAGTTTCATCTTTTTCTTGGCAGAATCAACATTTTCTGTTAGCATTAATTCCTTGGATCTTAGGTTTCTTCATATTGGTTTGGTGTGCTTGTTCTTGTGCAGCAAAAATCAAGCCTTCAGTCCGTTTCTTAACAGTCCCCAGTTTTAGCCATGCTCATGTTGAATCACCATTACAATTATTAGTTTATTTTTAATAATGGTGGGTGGATGGAATATTTTAACTGTTGTAAACTGCCCAGAGTAGTGGCTTGCCACTAGATGAACACTATATTAATAGTAATTACTGTAATTATGTAGTTAATTAAGTGGAATGTGTACTGCTAATGATTAACTCGTTTTATCTCCCACAATGGGATTTCCTCAGAGGTTGTAAATGTTGCAACAAGACTTGCAAATTAGGGACATCTTTATTTCCAGGGACCAGTCACAAAACAAAGCAGAGGCGGTGACAAAGGGGTAGTGCTTGTCCACCCAAATTCTGTATTTATTTATAAATTGTAATGCACATCCAGATAGACACCAGAAAACGTAAAGGAAATCCTGAGACTACTCTCATTGCAGGTTACGATGGCTAGTTCACATTTTGCACTCTTCTGGTCTCCAGCCTCAGCAGGCAGTCCAGTTGAATGCTGTTCGTTTTAATTTAAAGATATTCCTTCTGCATGCTATATAAGATGGGAACACCGTCACTACATTATAATAACAATAAATATTTTGTAAGTTTGGAACATCCTAGCAAGTCAGTGATATTATAAACCAGATTTTTTTTTCATTCAGGGTGATTGAAGTTACAGTCCAGCAATAGATAGAAGGTTGAATGCATATAATACAGAATGAAACTCTGGATTAGGTAACGTCTTTATTGGGCCACTAAAAATTTACAAACAAGGCAAGCTTTTGAGTTCTGTAGAAGTCTTCTTCATCAGGTAGGAAACATTGAGTGCAAGCAGAAAATCCAAAGATTGGGCCAGATGTAATAGCCATGGCTCATGCCAGTCTTCCCTGCCAGGGAAGCAGGATGGCGCTTTGGATTCAACATGAGACAGAGAACAAGGGTATCAGTGAAGGTCCCACCACACTGAAGACAAAAGCTTGGCCTGGCCTTCTGCAGATCTGCCAATTGTCTTGTTTAGGGCCTTAAGCCCGTATAGTAGGTTTTGCAGTAGCAAAACGTGGGTTAGTCTTTATAACAGCAAAACAGGAGAGTGAATTTGGGTATCACACTAGGCCAAAAAGTCAAATTTACAGTCCAATGGGTAGTGATGCCTAATGGTCTTTGGCAGCAGAGCTTTTCCTGAGGTGGCTCATTGTGCTACATCCAAGGGTAGATATTTTTAAATGCTGTGTGACCCATTCATGAAGGGAAAGCTTAGAGTTAAGAAATGCTTTCATTGTATTGCTTAAAAAAATTTAAATAAGTGTTTTGAATTCTATAGAACTCTTCACCTGACAAAGATGGTCTAAAACTATGGGGATCCATTTTCCTCCCTATTGTCAGGACTGGGGCCATGCCGGAACCCTGCAACCTTAGTGCAGGCATGATCGAGGCCCCATCTCTCTGGGGAGAACTGCTCTAAGGATTGCAGGACTGGGCCCTTTCCCTGCAGCTGTTACCCAGCTCCTCAGGAGTGCCACCTGTGGAAGCTGAGGACTGGGCTATATGAGAAGAGGCCTTCCCCACAGACCTTTGCTACAGCAACAAAGGTTATGCTGTGGGATTGCCTCTCCTTGCATTCTTGGATTCTGCTGCCTAGATACAGTTCCTCCTGGCTTTGACCCCTGGACTGTCTGACCATGATTTGCATCATTCTTCTACTCAGCTGCTGTTTGGACTCAAAACCCTAGCTGGTTGGTCTCAGCCTGGGCTGTAGGGTTGCTCTGGACTGGGTCGTGGTGTCTCTTCAACCAAACCCTGACACCTATATATCTTGGGCTTACAATTCTCATCAGCAAAACCCAGCATGTCCAACAGGTAACAACTTGCGAGAAGACAAACAGCAGGGCCCTAAATCCCCCACTTCTGCCTTAGGCTAGGAGGTTTTAGTAACAAAACAGCTGGAGAGAAATTGCCAAAGGCTACTGATTTCATATCATGGGCAATGGAGTAGACTCGCTTTTTAAAAAAAATATCGCTTACAGTACTTTGATGGGTCTGCTGCCTCAAACATATTTCTAATAAAATAATTAGAAAGGTCAAAAGCACCATGGAATGCAGGGGAACATGTCACTCCACCCCTGCCTCCTAAAACTGGCTGAGATTAACATAACCCGCAGCAAGACAGTGTGAGAGCCATGATTGCTACTTTGATTTGCATCCCAACTAGTACTGGAGATTAACATAACCCGCAGCAAGACAGTGCGAGAGCCATGATTCCTACTTTGATTTGCATCCCAACAAGTAATGGTTCTGGTAGTCACAGGAGTATTTACTCAACTTTACACAGCTTCTTCCCTTCTGGGCATCGAGAGGAGAGCCATGATTGCTACTTTGATTTGCATCCCAACTAGTACTGGTTCTGGTAGTCACAGCAGTATTTACTCAATTTTACACAGATTCTTCTCTTCTGGACACTCTTGGACAGGTAGGGTGGACCAATTCCTCTATGCTAATGAGCTTCCTGAACTGTTCATTAATTACCATGCCTTGGTGAAACAATGAAGCTAGCCACAGGCTTAATGTAAACAGATGTTTCTAACAGCTGTGCCCAGGTGAAACAATACAGCCAGTGATAATCCTTTTTCGGTCCGTGCACCGTTTGGGGTGTGTGTGATCCATGCATGGACTGGTTGGGGAGTGGGGCACACACACCCCGCTTACTGGTGGGCGTGTGGCCTTCATGCTAACACTTCCCCCTGCACTCCTTTCCTACTGGGAAGCTGCAGTGGGGCAACCAGCCCAGGAAGCACCCCGATGCATGGCTTTGCTTCTTTGCTCACTCACTCCCCATCTTCCCTCTCCAGGGAGCAGCCAGCTAACAACCAGCTGCTCTCCCCCGCCTCTCCCCCCCCCCCCCCGCCGCCCTTCCCTGCCTGTGTCCTCCTTCATCTGCAAGAAGCCAGGACGTGGAGCTACTTTGCAACTCCTGCCTCCCGGAGGTAGCGCTTCCTCCGCACGCCCAGCCAGCCTGTCTGCAAAGTTGTTCCATCTCTCTCCCCCTTCTGGCTTTGGCTATTTCCATCTCTCCCGCTGCCTCCCCCCGCGCAAGTAGCTCCACGTCCCGGCTTCTTGCAGATGAAGGACACAAGCAGGTAAGGGCGGGGGGAGGGAGAGAGGCTGCTTGTTAGCCGGCTACTCCCTGGAGAGGGAGGATGGGGAGTGAGCAAAGAAGCAAAGCCGTGCATCACGGCTCTTCTCAGGCTGGCTGCCCCACAGCAGCTTCCCCGCAGGGAAGGGGCGCTGATCTCCTGCAAGGGGTGCTGGGGAGAGGGTTAGCATGAAGGCCACATGCGCACCAGCAAGCATAACACACACCCCGTGTGTGTGTGTGTGGGGGGGA